GTCATCACCCCATCGCCGCTGCCCCCCCCGCTGATCATCCCATCGTGTCTGCTCCCCCCGCTGATCATCATCCCATCGTGTCTGCTCCCCCCGCTGATCATCATCATGTGTCTGCTTCCCAGCGGAAGGACAATCCGGCACTGACAGAATCCCAGGCCCAGTCACTGGCTCTGAGCAGGCAATCCAGCCAGGAGTTGGAGATCAAGAGACGGGAGGCCGTATACAATGATGTCCTGGCCAAGCAGCAGATGGTAAGTTCCTGCAGATCATCCTAACTGCCTGTGACCTGAGGGCGTCCTATGCCTGTGACCTGAGGGCGTCCTGTGACCTGAGGGCGTCCTATGCCTGTGACCTGAGGGCGTCCTGTGACTGTGCCCGTGACCTGAGGGCGTCCTGTGCCCGTGACCTGAGGGCGTCCTGTGCCCGTGACCTGAGGGCGCCCGTGACCTGAGGGCGCCCTGTGACCTGAGGGCGCCCTGTGCCCGTGACCTGAGGGCGTCTTGCTCCCCGTGACCTGAGGGCGTCTTGCGCCGGTCAGGGGGGTCAGATGCAGGTCAGGGGGGTCCTGTGCCCGTGACCCGAGGGCGCCCTGTGCCCGTGACCTGAGGGCGTCTTGCTCCCCGTGACCTGAGGGCGTCTTGCTCCCCTGACCTGAGGGCGTCTTGCGCCGGTCAGGGGGGTCAGATGCAGGTCAGGGGGGTCAGACGCAGGTCCGTTGCTCCTGTCATTGAATTGTGAAGGATTACCTTGATGCCCGAGACGTCCAGACACAGGTCATCCAGGTCATGGAACCTGTCTACATGGGGCCCAAGCATGATTGTAGCGTGTGTTAGCTGTGTAGTACACGTGTGACAACATACATGACCTGTCCTCTCATTCTGCAGTTGATCAGCTGCGTGCAGCGAATATTGATGGGACGACGGTTACAGCAACAATACAACCAGCAGCAGCAACAACAGCAACTGGCCTTGCAGCAACAAGCGGCGCTGAACCGCCTGATCATGCAGAAGTCTCCCAACCTCCTCCTCAACCCGGCCAACTATCCACAGATTGACATGCAAGGACTGTACCAGAACATCCAGGGCCACATGCAAAGGGCCCCGCCCCCCATCAGAGCAAAATCTCCCGGCTCCTCCCAGGGGAAAAAAAACTGAGATTGCACTAAGACCCGGACGCGGACTATGAGCGGAGGACGGATGTCAAATGCCAAACGCTCCTCTCTGTCAGCTTTGCAGTGTGATTGTATTTCTGTATGTTACCAGAGGGGCCACACGGAACTTTTGTCCCTCCCCCTCCCCCCCAGCTCCCCATCCAGACGTCAGCACTGCCGGAGCAGATCTCATACAAGGCCAGTTCCCGGCAGATCACCTTCGGAGGCTGGATAGTCCGCGGTCACGGAAGAATTCTCTCTGATGGTGTTCCCGGCTTTGTCTCAGACCGGGAGTCACGCCTCGCACACGTGTCGCAATGACTTCTCTGTACGTGTTCCATGTGTGTGACTCTGAAAGTATTAAAGCCGAAGCATCGGCGTGGTGGCCCGGCACCTAGAACATCCACTTCATACAGTAGCGTCCCCTCCCCCATGGGATCAAAGTTACTGGCGGCTTCCACATTGCAGAGTGTGACGTCATCGTCCTTCCGGGGAAACCCCGCCCCCTGGAATGTCGTCTCCGCCTTCCCCGGGACCTCGTCTCAGGATGATGATGTCACACTCTACAGTACAAAAGCCAGGGTAGAGGTCAGTATATTTACTAAACTGTGCCTGCTGTGATTGAGGGCCCCGGATGCGTTTGGTATGGGGGGTGAGGGCCCCGGATGCGTTTGGTGTGGAGGACCTGGATGCGTTTGGTATGGGGGTGAGGGCCCCGGATGTGTTTGGTATGGGGGTGAGTGGGGGCCCCGATATGACGTGGTCCTCGCTGCTTACCGCTTTAATATTTCTCTAGCAGAAGGTTTTGTGGCGCCTCCTGCGGACAGTCAGTAGTTTGCGTTGTGCGTCCTCTGAACCAAGTAAAGTCACCTGATTGGGGGCGGTCTCAGACTCCATTGATTATTGATCAGATTCTGATGATGGGGGATTGTCCCTGCCGCAGCGGGGTGATTCCAGGACCGGCCTATATTGGGGAGCGCTCATGTTGTCCGGTATGTCGTCCCCCCCCCT